TACACTGACAATGTTGTGAACCACTTTAGGAAAGTGATAAAGGAACGAGAGGTACAGGCCTCAATGGACAGATATGTTGTGCGACAGAAGTCCAGTGACTCAAGCTGGCCCTAGTGGTATTAAAAGAAGAAGGGAAGTAACCTTGGAAAAGGGCTTGCTACCTCAAGTCCTAATGGAGGGGATTCCCCTTCTAAACAATAGGTTCAACACTCTCCCCTCCTCCCATCCCATCAATCATCACCAGATCTTCATTAAAGGTAAGTGTCAATTATTCTATTGTTATATTGTTGTTTATTGTAATTATTCTATTGCATTAAACTTAATATTTCATGTGGTAAAAGTTTTTTTTCATACTTTTGGGTGTCTTGCACGCATTAATTTGATTTCCATTATTTCTTATGGGGAAAATTGATTCGCTTTCCAATAATTTTGGTTTACGATGAGCTCTCAGGAACGGATTAATATCGCGAACCGGGGGTCCACTGTATTTGCTTTTTCATAAACTTTTATCTTTTTCTTTAAAATATATAATCTTTCAGCATTAATCATAATCATAACTAAGCACTAGACCCACAAGGGTCATACAGCCTTTCAGCATTAAAAGCAATTGGTACAGGCAAATATGTACATTATTATTATAATAATAAAAAAGAAGCGCTAAACCACAAGGGTAAAGGCAAATACATTTACATCCTTATATCGTACATCTTTGGTTAAATAAGCCCTAACATTTTGTCTGTTGAATTCATTAGACTAGATAAGTGCTTAAAATTATGGACATTCTCAAGTTAAAAATATATGTACTAAATATTCTAAACTAACTTGAACAAACATTTTAGCAGCAAATTCCTTTACCTCACAATTGTGGTAATCATTATAAAAATTATAACTGTGACAACTACCAGACATATTACTCTCATATGAGCCTGCAACTGTACCTGTAATTTTTCTTTGGCCCCTTCAAGGGAGGTGGCTGGATGCTGGTCAGGGGCATCTGATCCAAGCAGTTGCATGTACCCTTCCCATCTTTTGAACAGTCCTTATTACTTACTCTTTCCATGGTGTTGTATAACCCCCAATGGGTAGCACTTCTTCAGGACTATAATAATAATAATTAATTTTTTTTTTTATCACACCGGCCAATTCCCACCAAGGCAGGGTGGCCCGAAAAAGAAAAACTTTCACCATCATTCACTCCATCACTGTCTTGCCAGAAGGGTGCTTTACACTACAGTTAATAATTAATACCATACATTACTGGCCATAAGTCATATTTTTCCAAAATACTGTATATATGCTCAGTTAAGCCCTGTGTCTTATGAATGCATAATACTGCCCCCACCAAAAAAAAAAAAAAATGTCAAAATAATCAAAATAAGGAAAAGTACATAAGAATGAACAAGAATTGCAATTGGGTTACTAATGCTAAACAGGTTCATCTCCAATCCAACCTTTCTTACTCATATATTTCTCCAACCTATTATTAATGCTGCCCAAAGTTTTGATGTGTTTTTGTGGCCTTAACATTCCTTTGCCCCCAATACCACTGTCAAAAATATTTGTATGGCATGTACGCTGGTGTCTTTTTTCTGTCTCATAAACATGCAAGATTTCAGGTACGTCTTGCTACTTCTGCTTATACTTAGGTCACACTACACATGCACGTATAAGCATATATATGTGTATATATACACACACCCCTTTGGGTTTTCTTCTGTTTTCTTACTAGTTCTTGTTTATTTCCTATCTCCAGAATCCTTCCTTTGTAAGTCATGTGTGTCGTAAGAGGCGACTAAAATGCTGGGAGCAAGGGGCTAGTAACCCCTTCTCCTGTATATATTATTAAAATTTAAAAGGTGAAACTTTCATTTTTCCTTTTGGGCCACCCTGCCTCAGTGGGATAAGGCCGGTTTGTTGAAAAATGTACGCAAACCTAAAAACGAAACGAGGAGGAAGAAGTGGAGGGATGGGGTGAGGGGAGAAACTGTGGTAGGGAGTGAGGGAAGAGTGGTGGTAGGGAGGGAAGGTCAGTGGGAGGATACCCAGATGACATCAGCATAGCCTGGTAGATTTATCGATACCTACTTGTTAAACATCTAGGTAGTAGGTTGGTAAACAGCAACCGCCCAGGGAGGTACTACCATCCTGCCAGGTGAGTGTACGACAAAAGCCTGTAATTGTTTTACATGATGGTAGGATTGCTGGTGTCTTTTGTCTGTCTCATAAACATGCAAGATTTCAGGTATATCTTGCTACTTCTACTTGCATTTAGGTCACACTACACATACATGTACAAGCATATATATACACACACACCCCTCTGGGTTTTCTTCTATTTTCTTTCTAGTTCTTGTTCTTGTTTATTTCCTCTTACCTCCATGGGGAAGTGGAACAGAATTCTTCCTCCGTAAGCCATGCGTGTTGTAAGAGGCGACTAAAATGCCGGGAGCAAGGAGCTAGTAACCCCTTCTCCTGTATATATTACTAAATTTAAAAAGAGAAACTTGAGTTTTTTCTTTTGGGCCACCCCACCTCAGTGGGATATGGCTGGTACGTTGAAAGAAAGAAGAACACTTGTTAAACAACTAAATTGATGCAATACATTAGTTACTGTATTCACATTTTATCTAGGTTCCTCTCATTTAACCTTAATTATGTAAATGGAGCGAAGTAGAGAATATATAAATATGTATTGGTGCCCTCCCCAGGCAGGATTACAATGTATTCATATCAAACTGTGACCTATTGATTTACCACAAAATATGAGTTTAGCAACCAAACTGTAGCACAAACTGCTGCTGAGGTCCACCATTGCTACTATGATTGCTGCTGCTGCTGCTTCCTCCACATTATTATGACAACAACTAGGGTTATGGAAGATAAATCCTTGAAAGCTTTAATAATTAATATGGACAAATATATATGCAAAAGGGGTTGGATTTGAGGACTTGCCTAGCATGGGGTAGTAGGTTATTGCAGTGCTTCTCCATTCTTATATACATATGCCAAAATTTACTGCAGTTGGTTTACTGGCCCAAATGAACTAGTCCAAATTATTTTTAATGCTAACCGAAGTTTGACAACAGTTGTAGATTTACTTCCATCTGTGAGGCCTGAAAATATAATTCCTGCATCTTATAGCTGGGGGTAAACAAAAATATTTGAGATGAAGTATACCCCTGCACCTTACAGCTGATAATATATGGTAATTAATAATATACTATATTGTAATAATAATTTTAGGTAGCAGGTTGGTAGACAGCAATCGGCCAAGGAGGTACTACCGTCCTGCCGAGTGAGTGTAAAACGAAAACCTGTAATTCTTTTACATGATGGTAGGAGTGCTGGTGTCTTTTTTCTGTCTCAAAGACATACGAGGTAGGTAGTGCTGGTGTCTTTCTTTTCTACACTAAGACATACGAGGTTGCAGGTACAAGCATATATATCTTCTTTCAACTAACCGGCCGCATCCCACCGAAGCAGGTTGACCCAAAAAGAAAAACATAAGTTTCTCTTTTTATTTTTTTTTATTAACACACTGGCCGATTCCCACCAAGGCAGGGTGGCCCGAAAAAGAAAAACTTTCACCATCATTCATTCCATCACTGTCTTGCCAGAAGGGTGCTTTACACTACAGTTTTTAAAATGCAACATTAACACCCCTCCTTCAGAGTGCAGGCACTGTAGTACTTCCCATCTCCAGGACTCAAGTCCGGCCTGCCGGTTTCCCTGAATCCCTTCATGAATGTTACTTTGCTCACACTCCAACAGCACGTCAAGTATTAACCCTTTGAGGGTCCGTCCCGTAGATCTACGGCTTTACGTTCAGGGTCCAAACCGTAGATCTACGTCATGAGCTCAGCTCACTCTGATAAACTGTGAGTGGTACATTTGGGCCTAGATATGAGAGAATACATCTATGTGGTATGTGTGCACCACATAAAACAGATCCTGCAGCACGCTGTGTATAATGAGAGAAAAAAACTGAAATCATGATTTTTCGATTAAAACAGCGATTTTGCAGTGTTTTTTCGTATGTTTTTTATAGTTCTATTTGCGATTTCTTGTCTCATGTGATAGAATAGAAGACATATTACAGAAATAGAGATGATTTTGATTGGTTTTAGTACTGGAAATGGCTTGAAACTGAGCTCAAAGTAGCAGAAATGTTAAATTTTTGCCGATGTTCAAGAGTAAACAAACGACCTCACACGTCTAATACACGCCAGCTGGTGGGTCTAATATGCATTCACAAATATGGTGATGATATTTATACAATTATTACAGTATTGCATAACAGTAAATCTTCTATTTTTTGGTGTGAATAAAAATTCATTATGTGAATAAAAAATCAAAATGGAATTTATTTGTAAAGCCTCAAAACATAACTAATGAACAGAGGAAATGTTAGTTTAGTTCCAGGAATACCTACATTGTTTATTCTGGACCCTATTTTGAAATTGGAATAGTATTTTGAACTTTGTGTTAAATTGGCCAAATTAACAATTTCCGATCACTTTAATTTGTAGTTGAAACAGTTGACTTGGTGATTTCTTGTGCTCAATCGATAGAATAGAAGTAATACTAGTGAAATAGCTAAGAATCTGGTTGACTGGAATAATGTAATTGGCCTAAAATGGGAGTCAAAGTCGGCAAAATTGCCGATTCGTAAATATCGCTGACATCAAAATTCGCGAGAGCATAATTTCATCAATTTCGTACTTTTTGTTTTATTACCTTCACAAAAAGATTCTCTACCATTTCATAAGAAAAAATAACAAATTTTTTTTTTTTTTGCAAATTCTTGGACACTGGGCACCACTTCAGATTTGGGCCTTGGACCCTGACGGGTTAAACCCATTTGTCTCCATTCACACCTATCAAACATGCTCACGCATGCCCGCTGGAAGTCCAAGCCCCTTGCACACAAAACCTCCTTTACCCCCTCCCTCCAACCTTTCCTAGGTTGGAGGGAGGGGGGGTTTCTCTTTTTAACTTTAGTAATGTATACAGGAGGAGGAGTTACTAGCCCCTTGTTCTTGTTTATTTCTGTTTATCTCCATGGGGAAGTAGAACAGAATTCTTCCTCCATAAGCTATGCATGCTGTAAGAGGCAATCAAAATGCCGAGAGCAAGGGGCTAGTAAACCCTTCTCCAGTATATATTACTAAATTTAAAAAGAGAAACTTTTGTTTTTATTTTTGGGCCACCCTGTCTCAGTGGGATACGAACTGGTATGTTGAAATAATAATAATAATTTCTTGAAGACTCATGCATAATTTGATAAATTATAAAAGGTAAAATCTTTTGTATAATTGCAAGGATTTCCTAATATCAGAATGTGAACGAGTCACTCGGAGGATGACAGGAAAAGATCATTTCTAGGTCCAGTACTGTATGAGGTACTGATATTATAACTTGCCAACATTAAGATACAGGAAGCATTTGTATATACAGATCTCTGTTAATATTGATAATTTTATACCAATTTTAAAAATGATGAAAGACATTCTTATGTCTTATATAGTAATATGTTGAAAGTGAACATAGATAAGAGTAAGGTGATGAAGGCATGAAATGATGTAGATAAAGAAAAATTGGATATCACATTGGAGAGAGGGAGTATGGAAGAAGTGAATGTTTTCAGATATTTGGGAGTTGACTTGTCAGTAGATGGGTTTATGAATGATGAGGTAAATCAGAGAATTAATGAAGGAAAAAGGGTGAGTGGTGTGTTGAGGTAAATGTGGAGACAAAAATATTATCTATGGAGGCAAAGAAGGGAATGTATGAAAGTATAGTGGTACCAACACTCTTATATGGGTGTGAAGCTTGGGTTGCAAATGCTGCAGCAAGGAGGCGGCTGGAGGCAGTGGAGATGTCCTGTCTAAGGGCAAAGTGTGGTGTAAATATTATGCAAAGAATTCGGAGTGTGGAAATTAGGAGGAGGTGTGGAGTTATTAAAAGTAATAGTCAGAGGGCTGAAGAGAGGTTGTTGAGGTGGTTTGGTCATTTAGAGAGAATAAAATACGTACAGTAGAATGACTTGGAGTGTGTATAAATCTATAGGGGAAGGAAGGAGGGGTAGGGGTTGTCCTCCAAAAGGTTGGAGGGATGGGGTAAAGGAGGTTTTGTGGGCGAGGGGTTTGGACTTCCAGCTAGTGTGTGTGAGTGTTAGAGTAAATGGAGATGAATGGTTTTTGGGACTTGACAAGCTGTTGGAGTGTGAGTAGGATAATATTTATTGAAGGGATTCAGGGAAACCAGTTATTATAGATTTTGCTGGACTTGAGTCCTGGAAATGGGAAGTACAATGCCTGCACTTTGAAGGGGGGGGGTCTGGGATATTGACAAATTGGAGGGACTTCTAAACTGTCATATTTGAGCACCTCTGCAGACAGTTTATGTATGAGTGAGGTGAAAATGTTGAATGATGATGAATTAAGAGTTTAGTGCATTTTTGTAATTTTTTTTGTTTAACATGTTGGCTGTTTCCCACCGAGGCAGGGTGACCCAAAAGAGAAAGAAACACTTTCACCATCATTCACACATAATCACTGTCTTTGCAGAGGCACTTAAATACAACAGTGTAGATGTCACTCCAAACAGCCATTATCGCAAACCCTTCCTTTAACCCGTAAACGGTCCAAAAGTATATATACGTTTTTACCGCTAGTGCCCCAAACGTATATATACGTTTTATTTGTCATACATTTAACATTGCCATGATAAGCCTGAGTCACCTAGACATGAGAGAATGGGTGTGTGCACTCACTGTGTGCCATATTAAAATAATTGGGGATGCCTGGGTACCATATGCTCTTTTTTCCTATTAAAAAAAACGAATTTTTTTTTTCTCAAAAAAGTTGGGGCACTACGGTAGAGAACGTATATATACATCTGGACCGTTTACGGGTTAAAGTGTAGGCATTATATTTCCCACCTCCATGACTCAAGTCCGACTAATCGGTTTCCCTGAATCCCTTCACAAAATATTACCCTGCTCACACTCCAACAGCTAGTGTGTGAATGCAGCAATCTGACATCATAATTAATTCTGATCTACCCTTACTTCCTTGTTATTTTATATTTTAATGAAACAAGGTGAGGCATTACAGCTATGTGAATATCTTGTTACTTTGCATCACTTAACAACAGGTGATGATAAATGCATTTATTATACTGTGGCTTATTGCAAGGCAGAATACAGTGGACCCCCGGTTAACGATTTTAATCCGTGCAAGAGGGCTCATCGTTATGCGAAATAATCGTTATGCGAATGAATTTTCCCCATAAGAAATAATGGAAATAAAATTAATCCGTGCAAGACGCCCAAAAGTATGAAAAAAATTTTTTTTTACCACATGAAATGTTAATTTTAATACACACAAACTGAAAAAGGCATGCACAATTACATGACACTTACTTTTATTGAAGATCTGGTGATGATTGATGGGATGGGAGGAGGGGAGAGCATTATCTTCTTACTGTTTAGAAGGGGAATCCCCTTCCATTAGGACTTGAGGTAGCAAGTCCTTTTCTGGGGTTACTTCCCTTCTTCTTTTAATGCCACTAGGACCAGCTTGGAGTCACTGGACCTCTGTCGCACAACAAATCTGTCCATAGAGCTCTGTACCTCCCGTTCCTTCAAGACTTTCCTAAAATGGGCCATAACATTGTCATTGAAATAGTCACAAGCACGGCTTGCAACAGCTGTGTCAGGGTGATTTTCATCTATAAAGGTTTGCAGTTCAACCCACTCTGCACACATTTCCTTAATCTTTGAAGTAGGCACAATGGATTCCACAACTGGCATAGGCTTCTCAGGGTTAGCCCCAAACCCTTCAAAATCTTTCTTAATTTCCATACTAATTCTCACCCTTTTTACCACAGGGTTGGCACTAGAAGCTTTCTTGGGGCCCATGGTCACTTATTTTCCAGAAACAGCACCGAAAACACTGTAATAATACGAAATATTCCGAGTGTATGCTTGGATGTTACCGCGGAGGCTGGCTGGTAAACAATGGGACGGCCGGCACATGTGAGGGCACATTGGACGCGTCTCGGACGAAAATCGGTAAGCGGGTTTTTAATCGGTATGCGCGGCAAAAATTTTGCGATAAAAGTAATCGTTATGCGGAAAAATCGCTATGTGATGCCATCGTTATGCGGGGGTCCACTGTATTTGAGTGTATTTATTATCCAATGGTTTATTGCAAGACTGAGTATTGAGTTTTATCTCAGTTAGTGACAAGATTGTAATGATAAGCATATATTTAACTTGTATTCGTGTGTAATAGTGTGTATAATACCATGTGCATATTTTTTTCTAAAAAAAAAATTTAACACTGACAAATATGAGGTCATAGCAAAGTAGATTTATTCCAGCTATTCACAGAATCCAGTTTATGCCTAAAATATAAATTTCCAAAAAAATAAAAATAGCTTGTTTTAACATTTTTCTTAAGCTACTGCAAAAACCCAATTAAAATTGGAGGTGCTTGTAGTTTGTTTATCATTTGAAGACGGGTTGGACCAAGATGTGATCGGATGGCAAGTCGACAACACTGAGTTAAAGGCCGAGGATCCTTTTCATTGGTGACCAGAAGATGCGCAAGTGCTGAAGAGGGCCCTGCTAAGTCCCGTGCCGTGCGTCCCCGACTGTAGAAATGAAACTGAATTTATGAAGCACACTGTACTTATATCAAATTAATATGCAATTACAACTCTACAGTTATCAATGAAGGCCAAACTTCATCTTAAAAAAATCTATCACCTCAACACAGAAAATAATGTTACAATGTAGCTTACTTATCCTTCATGTAGACATCAGCTCCATATGCTAATAAAAGCTGAGCTGCATCCTCACTTTTACTGTACATAGCAATGAGATGAAGCGGAGTTTTGTGGTTCTTTATGGCATTTACACTAGCACCTAAAAAAAAAAAAAAAAAAAAAAAAAAAAAAAAGTTAATATTTTATTAAATATTTAAGGGTTGGTCATCACATCATTGGAGTATAAAACAAATTCCAACCACACAACAGAGCAAAAAACTAATGTGAAGGACCTGGGAGTGATAATGTCAGAGGATCTCACTTTCAAAGATCACAGCAATGTATCTGCTACATTTGCTAGAAAAATGATGGGATGGATAATGAGAACCTTCAAACCTAGGGATGCCAAGCCTATGATGATTCTCTTCAAATCACTTGTTCTTTCTAGACTGGAATATTGCTGTACACTAACAATGCCTTTCAAGGCAGGAGAAACTGCTGACCTGGAGAGGGTACAGAGAACCTTCATGGCACACATAAGTATGATAAAACACCTAAATTGCAAGGAATGATTGACATTCCTTGACTTGTATTCCCTGGAATGCAGGCAAGAAAGATACATGATAATATACACTTTGAAAATCCTAGAGGGATTAGTACCAAATTTGCTCACGAAAATCACTCCCTATGAAAGCAGAAGACTTGGCAGGCAGTGCAACATCCCCCCCAATAAACAGCAAAAGTGCCACAAGTATGCATACATAAGGGGGATTACCAACAGACCCCTGGCTGTCTTTAAGAAGGCACTGGACAGGCACCTAAAGTCAGTACCTGACCAGCCAGGCTGTGGTTTGTATATTGGTTTGCATGCAGCCAACAGTAACAGCCTGGTTGATCAGGCCCTGATCCACCGCGAGGCCTGGTCACAGACTGGGCCATGGGGGCGTTGACCCTCAAAGCCCTCTCCTGGTGATTAAGTGTATTATTTTACTTTCTAGTTTATGAATATCAAATGATTTTATTATTTCAAAAAATTCTTGAGAAAAACAAAAAAGAAGTGCAAACACTCACCATTTAACTAAAAAACATTTTTAAAAATTATGTACATAAGTTAATTCAAAACATTTGGGTACAAATCTGTCCAAAGAATGAAAACTTTGATTAGAAAATAATTAATGTTACATCTTCAATTCAGACACTTGTGCAACACATGGGAATCTTTATTGAAGAAACGTTTCACTCTTGTGATGGACTGAACACATCGATTCCAGGTTGAGGGACTGATTACCTCGAACTCCTCCTCTCCTTACCCATTTCTACTTTGTATTGGACTGATGAAGCCACTGTGTGGCGAAACGTTTCTTCAATAAAGATTCCCATGTGTTACATTCTTCAACTTGTCGGTTTTCAAAACCATTCACCACATCTTCAATTCAGCTGAGCTTAGACACACCATTTGGGTGACAAGAAATGAGGTCCTGCAGATAGCATGTTAGCCTTCCATGTGTCTTAATTTCATCTTGTCGGTATTATATACCATTCTTGTACTACTATTACTACTACTACTACCACCACCTCTTCCTGCCTATATATAGCCGTCCTGCTCCATTTCTGGTTAGTGTGACTTTGTAAATGGTCCAAGTCGGACCGAAACATCGTCGTAAGCTTCTCTCTTTTATGTGCAGGTTATTTGTGTAGCCTTCCAGTACAGTGTGCACTGGAATTTTTTTGTGCCTATTTTTAGACATACTTTTTTACGAAACTTAAAATGTTCTTTTGCATTCTGCCCCATCCAGCACGAATTATTACAAGCTACTGTGCAAAAAGATATTCAGTAAAATATGAAGTCAATTACCAAGGAAACGAAAAGTGAGGTTAGCTGAATGAACATCCTGTAATTCTAGGAAATAAAAATTAACTTGGCTTTAACTTTTACTACCACTATCAACAGGGAAACAAGAAAACATAGCTATAAATTAAGAAAAAATACCACAAGATGCTGGAAGGTTCCTCAGAAGCAGAGTGGTAGAACAACAGAATGATTTATAAAAATACCAATAAGTGTTAAACTACTGAACAATTCAAAAACTTATTTGATAATTTAAACACTGAACAAGGGGCACCATGAGTTTAGCTATTCTTCTATAGCTACAAATAGGTACATATTTACAAATCTTTCTTTTTCTTACAACAAACTGGCCATATCCCACCAAGGCAGGGTGGCCCAAAAAGAAAAACGAAAGTTTCTCTTTTTAAATTTAGTAATTTATACGGGAGAAGGGGTTACTAGCTTCTTGCTCCCGGCATTTTAGTCGCCTCTTACAACACGCATGGCCTACGGAGGAAGAATTCTGTTCCACTTCCCCATGGAGATAAGAGGAAATAAACAAGAACAAGAACTAGAAAGAAAATAGAAGAAAACTTAGAGGGGTATGTATATATATGCTTGTACATGTATGTGTAGTGTGCCCTAAGTGTAAGTAGAAGTAGCAAGATGTACCTGAAATCTTGCATGTTAATGAGACAGAAAAAAAGACACCAGCAATCCCACCATTGTGTAAAACAATTACAGGCTTCCGTTTTACACTCACTTGGCAGGATGGTAGTACCTCCCTGGGCGGTTGCTGTCTACCAACCTACTACCTACAATATTTACAAATACTATACATGTATATAATTACAATATGCACATCTATCTACCTCTATATCTATCTTTCTCTCTCTTCCTAATCATAGTTGCCAACATGCATAACAGGTACAGAATTATAATCCTCAGCAGACATATTGCCATAATAAGTTAGAACTCAATATACAGTAAATAAAGAATGGTATAAAAATCCCTGTGTTAACATTTTCAGCCCATGAAAAAAGTTGGATTGACTGCAGTGCCAGACATCTCAAATACCCAGAAAAAAAAGAAGTGTACAACACTTTTTTATATAAAATGTACCTTTGTGGAAAAGAAAGATTAACAAGATTTGGCAGTACAGGCAGGCCATGCGTTACAAAATCTGCTTTATGGCATTTTACTAATACAGCGGTTTCGAATTACCCATTCCACCCAGGGAGGTACTACCATCCTGCCAAGTGAGTGTGAAATGGAAACCTGTAATTGTTTTTAAGTGATGGTAGGCTTGCTGGTGTCTTTTTTCTGTCTCATAAACATGCAAGATTGCAGGTACGTCTTGTTACTTCTACTTACACTTAGGTCACACTACACATGCATGTACAAGCATATATATACACACACCCCTCTGGGTTTTCTTTTATTTTCTTACTAGTTCTTGTTCTTGTTTATTTCCTCTTATCTCCATGAGGAAGTGGAACAGAATTCTTCCTCCGTAAGCTATGCGTGTTGTAAGAGGCGACTAAAATGCCAGGAGCACAGGGCTAGTAACCCCTTATCCTGTAAACATTACTAAAGTTGAAAAGAGAAATTTCTGTTTTTCTTTTTGGGCCACTCTGCTTCAATGGGATACAGCCGGTTTGTTAAAAGAAGAAAGAAAAGAAACCCCAGAAGTGTATTCTGCGACTTTACCAGATTTTAGGAGGAAATTGATGCACGATATGGATGGAAACTGCATGGAACACGTAGCATGCAGTGGTGTTCCATAATGAAGATCATTCACATTCAGTTTTGCTCCAGCAATGATGAGGACAGTAACAATGTCAGTGTAACCTGAAAAAAATGGGGTGATTTTAAATACTTTTCTTATGCTTAAACTACCAAAGTCTTCAACGAAAAGAGATCAAACATATTATGCTTTGGTGAGTAGGACTACTATATAGTTGTATTTTTTATTATTTATAAACACAATTTTAAAATAATATTTTTTGTGGCTCTTGAACATTCAAAAATGTATGAAAAGTATTGTGTGTGGTTCTTCTTATTGAAGAGCTTATCCGCCCCTGGTGTATACAGTACATACAAAATAGCAGAAATTTCTATAGTCATACAAACATATTTACATCACAATTTTCAGGCTCTTTAGCTTGTGTTCAGTATAGCTCACCCACACTAGTTTCCAGTAGTAGCTGACCATCAAACTGATCATCAGATTTCCATGTTATCATTTCTGTATGATTACTATGTACTGATGAAATTTTTCACCATGGTGTTTCGTTTCACAGAAACTGTATTGGAGCAAAACTAAGTTTAGATTTTAATTTGGCATCCCAAAATTAAATGTGAAATAAAACCACTGTTGGCCAATGTAATGTGAAGAAACTCTTCTACTTTATAATACTGTATAAACTAGAAGTGTGTGAGGGTATTATAGAACATGGTAAATATATAGTTATATTTTTGCCAATTGTTGTTGAGATGATGGGATCATGACAGAAATGTTAAAAGCAGGGGGGGATATAGTGTTGGAGTGGTTGGTACTTTTGTTTAATAAATGTATGAAAGAGGGGAAGGTACCTAGGGATTGGCGGAGAGCATGTATAGTCCCTTTATATAAAGGGAAAGGGGACAAAAGAGATTGTAAAAATTATAGAGGAATAAGTTTACTGAGTATACCAGGAAAAGTATACGGTAGGGTTATAATTGAAAGAATTAGAGGTAAGACAGAATGTAGGATTGCAGATGAGCAGGGAGGCTTCAGAGTGGGTAGGGGATGTGTAGATCAAGTGTTTACATTGAAGCATATATGTGAACAGTATTTAGATAAAGGTAGGGAAGTTTGTATTGCATTTATGGATTTAGAAAAGGCATATGATAGAGTGGATAGAGGAGCAATGTGGCAGATGTTGCAAGTATATGGAATAGGTGGTAAGTTACTAAATGCTGTAAAGAGTTTTTATGAGGATAGTGAGGCTCAGGTTAGGGTGTGTAGAAGAGAGGGAGAATACTTCCCGGTAAAAGTAGGTCTTAGACAGGGATGTGTAATGTCACCATGGTTGTTTAATATATTTATAGATAATGTGTGAGTGTGGTGAAAGTGTTGAATGATGATGAAAGTATTTTCTTTTTGGGGATTTTCTTTCTTTTTTGGGTCACCCTGCCTCGGTGGGAGACGGCCGACTTGTTGAAAAAAAAAAAAAAAAAATGTCATACCTCTTAAAGCTGCTTCATGCAATGGTGTTGAAAGAAGAAGAGGTGGATTCACAACTGCACCATGATTCAGTAGCATTTTGACGCACTCTACATTACCACCAGCACAGGCATCACATAAGGGAGTACTATTATCAATACTCTGAGCATTAACCTAAAAAAAAAAAAAATAATATTTTACTAATATTGCGCAGACTTTTCAGTGAGTTACAGACCACTTCAAAAACGTAAGGCACTGTATCTAACACTGCAAACCTTTCAAATAAATTAATACAAAGTTCTGTAAATGTGAGATGAAAATCTGATTCTAGTGATATTAACTTACTGAAGAAATTATTGCTTTAGTTAATCATTAAGCTAGAACAGTACATGTATACATTTTAATTATAAATTCTTGGCAAACTATGTTCTCTCCAAGTTTCAGCATCCTATTAATGTGATGATTACTCCTTGACTCCAACAAACAGGTAACATTAACAATTATTTTTATTATCCAAAGCAGGCTGTCCTTCACAAGAACCTCCCACCTCAATCATTAAAAGGTAAATAAACTAATAATCTCTCCTCGACTGCAGAATCAACCCTAGTAGGAAAAATCCTAAATTCCCAAGCACAAGTTAAAAAATTTTCTTACAGGTCAGTACCCAAGCTCCCTATATCTATTACCAACTACACCTACCATCCAACTTACGACCTGCTCAACATACGACCACTCGACTTACGACCGTGTTTTTTATGCCAAATTTCTGGGAAATAAACAACTGTTTGTGTTGTACACAGTGTTTACCCTAAACCTTACAGTATAAAATACAGTACTAACAGCATAAAAAGTAAAGTAAAAAATGAAATACCAAAAAAAAAAAAAAAACAATAAAATAAAGTCTTTACAAAAATGTGATGTTGATATTCAGTAGTAAAGTTCGACTTACGTCCATTTTGACTTACGACCGGTTGGTCGGAACCAAGCTCGGTCGTAAGTTGGATGGTAGGTGTACCTCCTGAGAGCAAGGAAATAAAGCTAATTTACTTTCGGTTATGTATAAGAAAGCTGCACATGTCCTATCAGCACTATTGTGGTTCTGTTTAAATAAACTATTGAAACCAAAACATACCCAAACATAAACAGACTAGGGTTACACCAATCTACAAAGTGGAAACTCATCAGAAATCAATAGGTAAAGGCCAGTTTCTAACTTACCACTAATAACTAAGATCTTCTTTCAACAAACCGGCCGTATCCCACCGAGGTAGGGTGGCCCAAAAGGAAAAACAAAAGTTTCTTCTTTTAAATTTAGTAATGTATACAGGAGAAGGGGTTACTAGCCCCATGCTCCCAGCATTTCAGTTGCCTCTTATGACACACATGGCTTACAGAGGAAGGATTCTGTTCCACTTCCCCATGGAGAATAAGATATTTGAAAAAATAATGCACAAGTGAATGTATGAATTCATAACAAAACACTATTCTTAACCTTCGCCTGTTTGGCCTTGGGCCCCAAAAAAGTACAAATGATACAATAATAAAAATGGGTGACTTAGTCTTTAAATTCCTAGAAAAGAATAAAAATCCAATAAGCATCGTCACTGATTTAAGAAAAAAACATTTGATGCAGTAAATCACAATATCATACTCCTTAAATGAAAATGCTATGGAATAAGAAACTATGTACGTACTTTCCTTCTCATGTCCTACCTCAAGGACAGACTCCAACACATGACAACAGCATCACTGTGTGATCCTTGTGGGCTTAGTGCTTTGTTTTGATTATAATAATAATAGCTGGCACCACTTCATCTACTAGACCCATTAACATAGGGGTGTTGTGAGGCAGTATCCTAAGACCCATTTAATTTTTCTTTTACATCAATGACCTACCAAATACATTTCAACAACTTAAACCAGTTTTATTACCAGTGGCGATGCTAGGGTTGGTGTTACCCAGGGCAGCATCTTTGGTGTCACCCCTATGAAATCCAAGGGCGGGGGAATGGGAGGAGTAAATTCCAGTTACGTCACTACTGCATGACCAGTGACTAATGTTTAGCAATGAGAACGTTCGGGGGCCATAAACTGAACTTTATTAATTATAAAATAAATAATCATAGTAATATTGTGGAAACAAACTCAAATACCACATTGAGTACAGGCAACAGATCCTACATTTATTCATCTTCAACAATGAAAAAAAAAAAAAACATGAAAAATAAGGAAAAATGCTAGTTCTGATTTGACCTTGATTGAGTACAGGTAACATGTCAATGAATTTGATCTTACATTTCCTTGCCTTCAATCCTGCAAAATTATCTATCACATCATCAACACTCTTATATGGGTGTGAAGCTTGGGTTGTAAATGCTGCAGCAAGGAGGTGGTTGGAGGCAGTGGAGATGTCCTGTCTAAGAGCAATGTGTGGTGTAAATATTATGCAGAAAATTTGGACTGTGGAAATTAGAAGAAGGTGTGGAGTTAATAAAAGTATTAGTCAGAGGGCTGAAGAGGGTTTGTTGAGGTGGTTTGGTCATTTAGAGAGAATGGATCAAAGCAGAATGACATGGAGAGCGATAAATCTGTAGGGGAAGGAAGGCGGGGTAGGGGTCGTCTTCAAAAAGGTTGGAGGGAGGGGGTAAAGGAGATGTTGTGGGCGAGGGGTTTGGACTTCCAGCAAGCGTACATGAGCGTGTTAGATAGGAGTGAATGGAGACAAATGGTATTTGGGACCTGACGATCTGTTGGAGTGTGAGCAGGGTAATATTTAGTGAAGGGATTCAGGGAAACCGGTTATTTTATATAACCGGACTTGAGTCCTGGAAATGGGAAGTACAATGCCTGCACTCTAAAGGAGGGGTTTGGGATATTGGCAGTTTGGAGAGATATATTGTGTATTTTTATACGTATATACTTCTAAGCTGTTGTATTCTGGGCACCTCTGCAAAAACAGTGATTATGTGTGAGTGAGGTGAAAGCATTGAATGATGATCAAAGTATTTTCTTTTTGGGGATTTTCTTTCTCTTTTGGTCACCCTGCCTCGGTGGGAGACGGCCGACTTGTTGAAAAAAAAAAATCAAAATCAATGATTTTCCCTACATAGGCCTATTTATACTCTGTAATCATATAATAGGCTATTTAGAAATGAAGGATTTTTCTCTTATGTTGCTGCAGCATGGTTTTGGGCATTAGTGTCACCTTCTTTAGAGGCTCTATGGCATCACCCCCCTAAATGGTGTCACCCAGTTCAGCCCCCCCCCCTATGACACCCCTGTTTATTACAGATGACACTGCCTGTGTCATATTCAACCCATACCTAGTTGACCTAAACAACATAGTCATTGCTGGTCTAAAAAGAGATATCAGCTTTTACAGCAACAAATACATTAACACTATAGTACATGTATACTGACAGGACCTACTACATAGAGTTTGAGAATAAAGCTAAAAATGTTTAACTGAACATAAAGATAAATAATACCCACAGTGAAAGATAAGACGAGAGAAAATTTTCAGGTATTTACCTTGACAGCAAATTTAAATTCAACACACACATACAAGGTACTATCAAAAAGTTCCCAGACTCAAATCTTCAAGTGCTTCCTGGGGGAGGTGGGAGGAAACATGGTGGCTACATAGATCACACTTCACAGTATGCTCCTTTGTGTAGTAGTGTGGCAAGTTTCAGTGAGGTCAGTAATTCTGCTGAGATTAGAGGGGCATTTTTTGTCATATTGTCAGTGCACTGTCGTGATTTTTTGTGCAACAGAATGGGATCTTTAAAAGAAAGAACAGTGTGTGTGCATGTTGATGAAATTCTGTTTCAAGCTCAGTAAAACAACTACTGAAACTCGCAAAATACTTCAGCAACCATTTGGTGATGAAGCAATGGGTGAGACACAATGTTTTGAATGGTTTTCTCAATTCAAAGCAGGACAAATGTCAGTTGAGGATGATGAACACACTGGTTGTCCATCATCAAAAACAGATGCCAACATTAAAAAAGTGAAGATGGCTATTCATAAAAATAATCGTTGGAGTATTCAGAACACTGCAAATACTTTGAGAATTTCTTATGGGTTGTGTCACAGCATTTTGACTGAAAATTTGAACATGAGGCAAGTGGTTGCATTATTTGTGCCAAATTTGCTGACTCAAGACCAGACAGCCCATCAGTCTGGTTATTGCCCACCCTCCCTACTCCACAGAGTTAGACCCCTGTGATGTCTTCTCTTCCCAAAAATAAAAATCGTACTCACAGGGTGGTGTGTTAATGACATGCACATTCAAACAGAATCACAGGCCATGCCAGATGCCATTAGAAGAGTTCCAGAAATGTTTTGAGAAGTGGCAGAGGCACTGGGATCAATGTATAGCCTCCCAAGGAGAATACTTCAAAGGAGACAACTTCAACTCAGTGATAAGGTAAGCTTATACATTTTTTCATCACAATCCAGAAACTTTTTGATAGCACCTTGTACTTAAGACAGTTTCCAAAACAGCAATGTGCCTAGTTATTTAAATTTATTAATTATTTTATAAAATATTTTAACTCTAATTTTACTCACCCATGCTCCCTTCTGAAGTAGGTAATCAGTAATCTCGACATCCCCTGTGAGGCAGGCCATGTGAAGTGGTGTGACACGGTCATAGTGCTGCTCATTAATGTCATGACCATTTGCTACGAGATTCTGAACCTCTGTAAAATTTCTTGATGCAACTGCGTTGTGCAAGGGAAACATTTGAACCCCTGCAAATAATGATAACATTGTAATACAATAAACAAAAACTATTTTCAAGCAAATATTATTTAAAATAGTTGATACAAAGCTTAAAATTCACTGCTTTAACAGAAAAGTGTATCCATAAATATGAAAGTCTGTATACTGTATAAAGAGTACTCTACCACAGATGTGTAAAATTCAGTACTGTATAATAGACTACTATACACTATACTTATAAATACTGACCATGACATTCACCACATGGGTGAAATGTCATGAATTAAGGTTCCATATACCAACATATTGGTATGTCACACTATTATCTATCTGACAGGAAGAAGATAAGATTTTGTTTGGATTTTTAACCCTGGAGGGTCAACCTGCAGGATAACCCAAGAAAAGTCAGTGCATCATTGAGGACCCCCATTGGGGGTCCTTAAATCTTCTCCCAGGATGCAACCCACACCAGTCGACTAACACCCAGGTACCTATTTGCTTGCTAGGTGAACGGGAACAACAGGTGTAAGGAAGCAAGCCCAATGTTTTCCGTCCTTACCAGGGATCGAACCACGGACACTCACCACTATACCACTCCCTAATCTACCCTTACCTAACCTATGGTATTTGTGCCTGAGGATCTACTACGACTAATCTTAAACCATTAATAGCCCAACAAAATGTCTACTGTATAGATTATCACCCATTCCTGTGCCAGACAACACACCCCTCCACTCTTCAAGAGTTTGAACTTACTAAATATACAAAATATGCACTTACATTACTGTGCCTATTATATACTATATAGAATATTAAACTTTAACATAAACCCTTCCCTCAAATTTCTTCTTGACAGTTACAACAGAACACACAGACAACACAAGGCACAAAACTCTCTCTTTGCATGGGGTGTCTGCCTCACCCTATGCAAAAATGCAATGCACGTAAAGGACCCCAAGGTCTAGAATTCATTGCCAGCAAAAGATCTCCTGTCTGCCAATCAATGCAGAGCTATAATTAAAAATCAGACTCATTTCCCTAACTTAACTACACCAATACTATGCTATACCAAACAAAACCAATTCATCTATACCTAGCTGTATGACCCAGGTAGGTTTGGTGCTTCCTTTTGATTATAATAATAGTTATCTATACCTAACAAAACCAACTCGTCTAACTATTTCCTGAAATCATAGAGCCTGCTAGAAACTACTTAATGAGTTTAAAGTATTAATATGCTTGCTGTAGAATTACCAGTATAATTACCCGGCCAGGGCCTTTTCCAAAAGGTGGCCCGGCCTTGGATCCCTGTCGGGGGAAGTGTCTCAGACCAGTGTCTGCCATGGGAAGAGGTACAAGTATCTCCTCATCGTCTGGGACCAGCTGTCCCCTGCCCCCACAGGGCTCGGAGGAAGAAGCTAGGCACCTTGGGCTGCCACAAATCCCGCCCACACTGGGTTCAAAGGGTGTGGCAGCTGCATAGCAGCAGACAATGTCAGGCAGTGCAAAGGTATAAAACACTACAGGATCCTTTTGGAGCCATACCTCAGCTATGGGCATTAAGCCTGAGCACTGGGGAAGTTCAAGAATGCCTCTAGCTTTGTGTGTTGCTGCTGCTACGACTAAACTTGTCCATTGCACTCCTCTATTAATACATAATTTTGTTTATAGTGTATATTGTACTTGTAATTGTACCACTCAAGTAGTCTTTAAGCATCAGGATTAATCTGCCCAAAAACTACATTTTTTATACTCCACAAACAAATAAAATGTTTGTTTATATAGATTTAACCTATGATAGCACAATAAAGTCAGAGTGTCCAGCATGTTTCCACTGGGGTCCCAAAATAACATTCAGAAAAAATCATGGAAATTTAAGTATAATTCAAAACAATATACATTAAATTGTCATTTCAGTATATATAGTATTTTTAAAATACAACATTTCACTCACTTGTATAAACTGTATCAAGAACTGGACCAGAAGCCATAGTAACTACACATTAGTACACAAGATGCAGAAAACAGGAGCACTACTTTCCCCTGCTAAAACTTGCTATGTTCTAACCTAAGTTAGGTTAAGACAATCGAGGAACTGGTATTACAAGACATTGTACAGAGCATGGCACACTTGGCAGCAGCAGAGTGGGCACTTGGCTAGTGGTTCAACTGTTCCTGTTGATGCAGGTAACTGACCTGATGCTCTCACACACCAGAACTTTCTTGACGTAATCACAGACCAATGGTTTTTCTGACCCAATCACAGACCTGAGGGACCAGAACGTCCGCTGATGCAATCACGGACCTAACAGCTGATTGATTGTTGAGGGAGCTAATGGCCTCAACTGAGTAAGCCGTATTGACCACCACCTCCAGGTATCTGGGGAATAAATACTGTTTAAATTTGAGTAGAGAAGGCAGAGGGAACAAGTACTTTTATACAAGAAATGAGACACGCGTTACTTAATTATGAGTATAGGCAGACAATCACACCATCCATGGGCCACTGGCCGGCTACCCCAAAAAGTTGTCCCTCACCCCCCAAAAAAACGGAGCTGGAGTTTAGCACCTAATTAACGTCCTCCGCATGGCGAGGTACAAAAATGATTAATATTTCAAAAATAGCAGCGAAGAATGTGCCTCTTGAAAGCATGTTGAGAGACGTTAAAAAACATTTAACAGGGTTTCATTTCATATTCATATGACAGGATGGTTGTACATTATTTCTATCAAAACTAAGCGTTAAACCCACAAGGTTCAGAGGGATGGTAGTGTACCCCTCGTAGATGAAGGAATATAAGCCTAGAGCGCAAATAAATAAGAAGAATTTAAGAGTATATATTTTTGTTTTGTAATCAGAGGAAGCACTAGTAGAGCGCATGGGTAATGGGAGCCAATCAGGTTCAATACAAACAAGGGGAGGATAAACCCCCATCGCTGCATCAAGAGCCCCTCACTAGCATCAAGGCACCTCCCTTGATGGGGCAAGACAGTTCAAGTACCGAAAAAGTTAAAACAAGAGAGGACTTGCAGCAGCAAGGGCGGCGCAGAACCAGCTGATGTTGACGCAATCACTGTCCCTCCAGCTGATGTTTATTTACAGGTGTTGGTGTCCTTCATGGTCAACAGATGTCGCTGACTCTACCATAACAGACGACAGCCATACTTGGCGGCAAAGAAAGATTTATTCTGGTCTTTTTCCATCTTTCGTGTACAAATACCGTCCCGTTTGGGATATGGGACAATCTAGCAGTGCCTTCTGTCAGTCAGGTAAGTGAATGTAAAATAAATGGTTGTCTATATGCAAGCACTGATGCAAATGAGTAAGGGTGGCACATGACGTGCAGCGTGTTCAACTACGTTGTTTTGGTTGTGATCACGAGTTGCACCTGTAAATCTTCAGTGGGATATTTAGCATGATTGGTGTTTGGGAAGGAAGGCAGCTCGCCAGGCTCACGAAAGTATTTCGACGGGGAATTTGATTTTACAAATTGTTGTTTGTTAAAGATAACATTTATAGAAGAAAATTACAAAATTATTTTTTTTTCGTTTTTACGGAGTCCAGCAGTAGGTTTATAGGCTTTTTGTAAGGCAATTTGTGTTTAGTTAGTCATTCCCTTGCCTGTTTTTATAGTTGCCTAACTACATGCATTGACGTTATTTGGAAATTTGTTCCACTAATCTACAAATTTGTTGCCATTCTAAATCTGATCTTAGTCTGTTGTTGCAAACTTTGTCATTGTTAAATATTTTAAGCTCATTTATATCCCCTTATTCATGTTTTTCATTTGTATACTTCTATAGTAACATAAAAATCCTCTCTAATTCTAGAAGGTTTTAAAATTTTTAACACGGGCTGTCTGCCACCGAGGTAGGGTGACCTAAAAAGAAAGAGGAAACGCCTCCACTATCATTCATTCAGTTACTGTCATGCCAGAAATATACTGACACATTTCAAATGACCCTCCGAACTGCAGCATTTTCACTCCTTCAGGGTGTAGCCACTACACTTTCACCTCAGGACTCGAGCTTGACTAACTGGTTTCCCCTGAATCCCTTTATAAGTGTTGCCTTGATACTTTCAACACATTATTTATGTACAGAGATGTTCCAATTTATATCCACTTTGAAAAAGAAAGCTAAAACTGAGATGTCTATATTTCGGACTCACACTGATGGCCTCTTCAGATGAATAAAGAATATAAGGGATGACACTTATATACACAGGTAGGTCACGTAACCCAAGTCACGTTATGTAACTCAGGTGTAGAAACCAGGCCAGGTGTGGGAACGAAGGTGGGCGCAGGCACTAGGTCAAGGCTGTGCAAAAGGTTAACCAGGAAAGTGGGCAGGTACATATTTAACTACTTAACAAACAGAGCGAAGTAATAAACAGGGAAATAAAAGTACAGTACTCGCCCCGCTTCTCTCTCATTCTCGTTCCTGAATTAGAGAAATGAATCATCCCAGGCAGATACCAGAATCTACAGGAGAGTGGCGTCTATCGAGAGCACAGCGAATCTTTAAACTTCTATAAACCAAAGCTCTATAGCCCTTGTGGCTTAGCGCTTCTTTTTGATTATAATAATAATATAAACCAAAGCTTCCAGTGAGCCACCGACAATAATATAATAATTAATGGGGACAGATATCAGTAACTACACTATGAAAAAAAAACCCTGAGGAATTAAAGACTGAATCGGAGGACAAGACAAGCTCAAACCAGAATCTTACGTTCAATGATGACAACAACGTTAGCGTTGAATTAACGAGGAAAATAATTGGCTGGATAACTGAAACAAGATATGCTGAGCCTAGACACTTGCTCTCTCTAGGTTGTAATACTGTTGTATGCTAATAGCTCTCTTCAAAACAGGAGAAATCGCAGAATTGGTTAACGTCCACATAACCTTTACTGGGAATGATTGAAGTCTCTTGAACTTTAGTCATTGGAACGTAGGCGAGAAGTACATCATAATTTACACCTTGAAAATTCTGAATGGACTAGTCTCAAACATGTACACTTAAATCACTCCACGTTTAAGGAAGAGGCTTGGCAGAAGATGCAGAATACCTCAGTGACAGGCATTGTGCGACGAGCATAAGAACACAAGAAAGAAGGAACACTGCATCAGGCCTACTGACCCGTGCGAAGCAGGTCAATGCCACCCCCCCGGCCTACAACAATGACCACCTAGTCAGGTCACTTCCACTTAAGGAAGAAGCACGGCACCAAACCTGGTAGCCCAAGCCAGTTAGGTCCAACTCACACCCACCCACACCCACTCATGTATTTATCCAACCATTTTTAAGACTACAAAGCGTCTTAGCGTCTATGACGGTACTCGAGAGTTTGTTTCACTCATCCACAACTCTATTACCAAACCAGTGCTTTCCTATATCCTTCCTGAATCTGAACTTTTCCAACTTGAAGCCATTGCTGCGAGTCCTGTCTTGGCTGGATATTTTTAGCATGCTATTTATTTATTCCTGTTTTCCATTTATACACCTCAATCATCTCCCCCCTAATTCAACGCCTTTCTAGTGAGTGCAGATTCAGGGCCCTCAGTCTGTCCTCGTAGGGAAGATTTCTGATACATTTTCCAGTGCATTTACATCCATTCTGTAATATGGTGACCAGAACTGTGCAGCATAATCTAGGTTGTAAGGTAAGACACATATGCAACAGTTAGACAACTTTATTCGAAACGTTTTCGCCTACACATAGCTCTCAGTCGAATACAGAAAGTAGGCATGGAACAGTAGATGTTAGACGTGGTAATCGTCCATACACCCTTAAAGTCGTAGAATTTGAGGTTGCAAACCCTCGGCCTGGAGAAGTTCAGATTCCATATTCAGGAACGTATCTGACTATGGAACTGAACTTCTCCAGGCCGAGGGACTGACAACCTCAAATTCTACGACTTTAAGGGTGATGGACTGATTACATCGTCTTCACATCTCTACTGTTCCTGCCTACTTTCTGTATTCGACTGAAGAAGCCTACTGTGTAGGCGAAACGTTTCGGAATAAAGTTGTCTAACTGTTGCATATGTGTCTTACCTAACAAGATCTACACTATTCAGTTTATAAGTGGCATGGTTATTGTCTTGTCCAACACTTAGCACTTTGCATTTGTCTATATTAAACTGCATCTGCCACTTCTCCGACCACTGCATCAGTCTATTCCAATCATCCTGGAGTGCATCGATGTCCTCATTAGAATGAATTGGATGGCCTATTTTGGTGTCATCAGCAAATTTGCTTATGTCGCTATTTATTCCCTCATCTATATCGTTTATGTAAATTGTGAACAACAAAAGGCCCAACACTGACCCCTGTGGAACACCGCTTGTGACTTGCCCCATTCTGATTTCTCCCCATTATGTAAACTCTTTGCTGCCTGTCTGTCAACCACGCCTCTACCCAGGAAAAATTTCTCCTCCTATTCCGTGTGCCTTAAGTTTCCTCATTATTATTATTATAATCAAGGGGGAAGCGCTAAACCCGTAGGTAAGTTTCCTCAAAAGTCTCTGATGTGGAACTCTATCGAAAGCCTTACTGAATTCCATATACACAATATCATATTCATTACCATGATCTACCTCCTCAAACACTTTAGCGAAAAAAGTTCGTAAGACAAGAACGCCCCTTAGTAAAACCGTGTTGAGAGTCGTTTATCAATTTATGGCTATCAAGATGGCTACGAATTGCCTCGGCAGTTATTGATTCCATAAATTTTTCCACTATGGAGGTAAGGCTTATTGTTAGGTAAGACACATATGCAACAGTTAGACAACTTTATTCCGAAACGTTTCGCCTACACAGTAGGCTTCTTCAGTCGAATACAGAAAGTAGGCAGGAACAGTAGAGGTGTGAAGATGATGTAATCAGTCCATCACCCTTGAAGTCGTAGAATTTGAGGTTGTCAGTCCCTCAGCCTGGAGAAGTTCAGTTCCATAGTCAGGAACTATCTGAAGAACAAGCGACAGTGCGGAGACTTAATTAAATACTGTCGGAAGGAGAGGTGCAGAGTAGTAGTAGTAGTAGTGAGAATGTAGCCACTGAGAGGTCAGGTCCCTCTCAGATCCAACAGTTCTCACTTGAAAAGCTTGTCCAAGGTGTTTTCTGTACCAAGATGCCATGTGTTCAGGTCTGACAAGTGAAAATCAAAATGGTATACAATACCGACAGGTTGTTAGGTAAGACACATATGCAACAGTTAGGGCATCTTTATTTTCCCAAACGTTTCGCCTACACAGTAGGTTTTTCCCAGTCGAATACAAAAAAGTAGGCAGGAACAGTAGAGATGTGATGGACTAATTACATCATCTTCACATCTCTACTGTTCCTGCCTACTTTCTGTATTCGACTGAA